TGATGCAGCTCCACATGAAGAACGCCTTCTTGCAGAGCAAGCTCGACCGGGTGCTGTACATGTACCAGCCGGACTACTTCGACGACGGGACCGGCAGGGTGTGCAAGCTGCTGAAGAGCCTCTACGGGCTTTAGCAGTCGCCGCTGCTGTGGAGCTCTCGACGGAGTGCTGCTGGGGGCTGGCTGGAAGAAGAGCCAGGTCGACAAGGCGCTCTACTTCAAGGTCGGCGACGACGGGGTGACCTGCTGGGTGCTGGTCTACGTCGACGCTCGCCGCCAGCAGCAGCACCGCAATGCTGAAGGAGCTGAAGGAGCTGCTGGAGGACGCCTTCAAGCTGCGTGAGATCTCGCAAGTCGTCAAGTACCTCAGGCTGGAGATCGTGCGCGACAGGCCCACAAGGAAGCTGTGGCTGCACCAGCAGGGCTACGCCGACAAGCTGCGTAGGCGCTTCATCGACGAGGAGCAGGGCGGTCGGATCCCGAATATGCCTGTCTCGGTTGACGCGTACGACGAGCTGACATTCGACGACGAGGAGGGGCAGGAGCGCGAGGAGGAGGAGTACCGGCAGAAGGTTGGCTCGCTGCAGTTCGCGGCGATGACGACGAGGCCGGACATCGCGTTCGACTGCAGCAAGCTGGGGAGCGGCCTCACGGTGAGGAGCGACCAGCATTAGCGCGAGGTCGACCGCTGCCTTGCCTACCTCGATGACACCCGCGACACCGCCATGGAGTTCGTTGGTGGACCAGAGTCGCTGGAGCTGATCGGCTACGCGGATGCCGATGACGCGGGCGACTAGCAGAATAGGACGAGCACGGGCGGCTACGTGTTCGTCTTCGGAGGTGCCGCGGTCTCCTGGTCGAGCCAGCGCATCAAGTGCGCGACGCTCTCCTCGACCGAGTCGGAGTACGTCGCGGCCACGGACGCCTGCAAGGAGGGGCGTCGACTTCGCTTCCTCCTTGCAGAATTCAAGCTGCTCGACCCTGGGAAGCCGACTGTCCTCCGCGTAGACAACAAGTCGGCAATTACGGTCTCTGAGGGCTTGGGGCCGATGGGCAACCTCAAGCACATGGAGTGACGCTACGCCTGGCTGCAGCACATGGTGAGGCGCGGGATGTTCGTGCTGAAGTACATCCCGACCTCCGAGCAGCCGGCTGACTTCCTGACGAAGGCGCTGCATTTTCCGGCTTTCAACCGGTGCTCTGTCGCCATCGGCCAAGTTCGTCTGGCCGACGTCGGCGACGGCGGACGATGATGTGCAGCAGTAGGTGTCGTGCCCTTCTGCACGGCTAGTGCGGTGACGGCGTGTTGTATGTGGGGTGCACGCCGAGAATGAGTTTTCTCCGTGGAGTACTGCCGTGTGGGCTGGAGGCCCAAGCGTGAGCGTGGCAGGGGAGTGTTAACGGGGATGAAATGTCGGCCCCGCCCTCGCTTGGGCAACGCCGACAACTTGGTCGGATGTACGGGGGAAGCAGGCGACCGTTCACAGTGAGGGAGATGCTCGACGGGCTTTGTCGAGCTGCATGGTGTCACTGTGGGGTTGCCGTCGACCAGGGGTGCTCAACGGGCGCATTTGACTGGGCTGGGCGACGGGTCGGCCGTCCACCAGGAGTGCCAGTTCGACGGGGAGGTCGACGGAGCAGTTCGTCGACCTGACATGTGAGCAGGTCGACGAGGGGAGCTCGGCGATATCAGCTGATATTTCTGCTCGACGGAAGGGGTCCGTCGACCAGGGGGCAGCTCGACGGGAGCTGTGGTCGACCAGGGGCACTTGATGGTCGACCAGAGCATCTGGTGGTCGACCAGGTCGACCAGGTAACCTGCTTGGCGAGTTCTGCGGAGGCACGCGAATGTCGTCGAGGTCGCAATGGCGAAGATGACTTGGGGCTGGTATCTCAAAGTCGATGTGGCTCATCAGGTGCAGACAACAGCCGACGGATGCACAGCAATGCAAGTCGGGCCAATCGTCTGCGTGCACCTGCGAGCGTGCACACTGCTGCCATCTACGAGTGCAACGCTTGACAGCCGCATTGCCACAGTGTTGGCACGCCATTGACCTGCAGTGTTGGCAAGTCGCCTTTCTGCAGTGCTGGCGCGGCTCCTCTACGCAACGCTGGCAGGCGGCCGACCATGCAGTGCTGGCGGTCGACCAGGCTAGCTGCAGAGTTGCTAGGTGCCTGATGTAGTCATTGTTGTCATTCCTTGTTGATTCATTCTGTGATTCTCAACTTTGGTAGTGGAAACTCTTGCCGGTTTCTCCCGTGAATGTGCAAGGAACTAAGCAAAGCTATGATCAATCCTAGTAGTTCGTGCCAACCCTCATAGTCTAGCTCACTACCATTGTACAGTGTCTCTCCGCATGGTGCGGTGAGCGTGGATTGATATGGGCTGTGCACTTGGGCACGGCTCAATCCAGGGATGGCTACTTTGGGACCCATTCACCAAAAAGTTCTTGGTGAGCAGGGACTGCAATTTCATGGAAAACCTGATGTACAAGGATTGGAAGGCGGAAAATGAGGCGCAGATAGGTGTGCGGTTTGGGGAGGTGAAGAGTTCCGGCTTGGAGCATGTGGAGCTGCCTTTGGAGCTGAGCACCGCCATCACCATCACAAGGCAATCTCCTCTTGTGAATGGGGGAGAGGAGGCCAAGAATGGAGAGAAAGAAGATGAGGAGGTGCAGCAAGTAAGCGAGCGTGCACCGACACTTCCTTCTCGCACTACGAGCGCTCCATGGATTCGGGTCACTCCGCAACAACGCCAAGATAGCCTTCATGTCCCTGCAGCTGAGCAGGAAGAAAGGGGTAAGAGGGGAGTTCAAGCCCCTAATAGGCTGACATATGATGCGCCGGGAAAGCCGAGCAAGTCAGCCTTGATTGGAGCGGCAATGATGGTTAGAGACGACAAGGAAAGTGAGTACGAGAACTGTGCCTTTGCGTTTTTCTCTCCGGTGGAGATGCCTGGGAAATCAACAACTCTCAAGAAGGCCTTGGAGAGTAGTGATGCTGAGGATTGGAAGAAGGGAATGGAGAGTGAGCTGAAGAGCATCAAGGAGAACGACATGTGAGAATTGGTGGAGCTACCGGAGGGGCGTAAGGCGATTACGTCCAAGTGGCTCTTCATGATCAAGTCCGACGCCGATGGCAAGATCGAGCGCCACAAAGTTAAGGCTTGTAGCCAAGGGGTACCAGCAAAAGGAGAAGGTGGACTACAAGGAGTTGTTTGTTCCTGTGGTAAAGCCGACGACCCTGCGAACCCTACTCGCGGGGGCTGCCATCAAAGGATGGGTGTTGAAGCTGATGGACGTGACAACCGTGTTCCTCAACAACATTCTCGAGTAAGAGATTTTCATGGCACAGCCAGAGGGGTTTGATGATGGCAGTGGCAGAGTTTTGAAGCTGAATAAGGCCCTCTATGGGGTGAAGCAGGCCGCTAGGCGATGGTACTTGAAGCTGTGCAAAGTGTTAAAGGAGATCGGCTTCGCTCCCTCAACGGCCGATCACTCCTTGTTCATGCTTGGAGAGGGGGAGCAGAGGAGCTTCATGGTAGTCTATGTGGATGACATCCTTATCTTCTCACCCTCCTCTGGTCTTGTGAAGGAGGTGATGCTGAAGCTTCAGGACAAGTACAAGTGCAAGGCACTTGGCAACGTGAACTTCTACCTCGGGCTTCATATCGAACGTGGAGAAGTGGTGCATGCGGGTGCATCAACGCAAGTACTTGGAGGCCTTGGCTGCCAAATTTTGGCAGGGTGAAGGCCATGTGGTTACTTCATTCCCTTCTGGGTTCAAGTGTGTAAAGGGACCAGAGGAGGGTGTTGGAGAAGAGGAGAGGCGCCGATTTCACTCCTTGGAGGGCAGCCACATGTACGCGGCGGTAAACACTCGAACGGATTTCACCTTTGCTACCGGGCAACTGGTTAGGGTTGTGCAGTGCCCTAATGAAGAGCAGGTAGTAGCTGGAATGAGGGTGGCAAATTATCTTGGCCAAACACCGACTGTTGGGCTGCAATACTCGGCGGCGGCGCAAAGGCGCCAAAAGGGCGCGGATGGTGTTGAACCCGGACGTTTGTTCCTCACTGCCTTCTTCGATGCCTCTTATGCATCGGAACTAGAGGACATGACAAGTGTGAAAGGCTTCATAAGTTGTGTTGGTGGAGGCCCAACTGCTTAGGAGAGCAAGAAGCAGGTGGACCAAGCATTGGGCTTGGTGGAGTCCGAGTACATGGCACTCTTCCGTGCCGTACGGGAGATTGTGTGGTAGCGGAATTTGTTGGCTGAATTGGGGGAGGAGCAGCAAGGACCTACCCTCTCTATTATGACAGCCAGGGTGTCATTGCACTTGCAAGAAACCCTGTGTTGTACGGCCTTGCCAAGCACATGAGGGTGAAATTGCATTGGACGAGGAGCATGGTGGCCGCGGGTGAAGTTGAGTTGCGCTATGTGAAGACAACGGGGCAACAGGCAGACATAATGACCAAGAGGCTGGTGGAGCAGCAGCATTGGAAGTGTTGCAAGCTGGCTGGGATGGCTTTGAACTGAGAGAGCAAGATCCTAAGGCCAACAATCCGAGGGGGAGTTTGTTGGTGCAACCCTACGGTTTGCACTCGGCTTGTTGTCCATGTGCGTGCATGCGTGAGTGCATGGAATGGTATGAGGGCATAAAATAATATATATTTCATGCTTATTATAGTGTGTGAATGATGAGTCATAATGTTGAATGTGTGTGTTGAGTCAATTGCGAGTTATTGCTAGTCGCGTGTCACGCGGTCGTTTGTGTCTCGTGCGCGATTTCTATTTGTCGTGGGTCGAACGTTCGGCGTGTGTGCAGCAGACCCTTCAAGAACTCAAGAATGAGTTTCTGATGAAGAACCAGAGCCTTGGTTTCAAGATTCATGTGAACTCGAAGTCCGCGAAAAAAAGTGTTGACTTCAAGATAGTGTGAATAGTTACATTTCTTTGTGTAGTGTAACATTTCACTTGGTGTAGGCCCTTGTGACTATGACAATGCCCCCCAATCACCTCGCCTCTTGCCATCCCGTTCCCCCTCTTGCCATCCAGTTCCCCCTCTTGCCATCCCGTTCCCCCTCGTGCCAATTCGTTCCCCCTCTTGATATCCTGTTCCCCCTCTTGCCATCCTGCTCCCCCTCTTGCCATCCCGTTCCCCCTCGTGCCATCCCGTTCCCCCTCTTGCCATCCTGTTCCCCCTCTTGCCATCCCGTTCCTGCCATCCCGTTCCCCCTCTTGCCATCCCGTTCCCCCTCGTGCCATCCCGTTCCCCCTCTTGCTATCCCGTTCCTCCTCTTGTCATCCCATTCCCCCTCTTGCCATCCCGTTACCCCTCTTGCCATCCCGTTCCCCCTCTTGCCATCACATTCCCCCTCTTACCATCCCGTTCCCCCTCTTGCCATCCCGTTCCCCCTCTTGTCATTCCGTTCCCCCTCTTGCCATCCCGTTCCCCCTCTTGCCATCCCGTTCCCCCTGTTGCCATGGTGCACACGCACCTCTATGCTCACTTCCCTCATCTATCCTCTAGCCCCTTATGCATATCATCCCCACCTCCTTCCTTCCCCTCCCCCCTTCCTTCTCTTCCCCCCCTCCCTCCCCCTCCCCCCTCTCCCCTTTCATCCCCGTTCTGCCCATCCCTGACACCAGTGCATATTGCTGGTGGAGGCCAGAGGGGGCGTTGTATCGGTGGGGGCGTTGCCCCGATCCTCTTCTGGGCCATGTGGTGGTCGTGTTGGAGTAGGCTAGAGCTCGCTCTGGCATTTATCATAATATGTTTTTGGTATTTCGCTATGTTTAGAGCGAGTTACACTTTCAGTTCAGTTTAGGTTCATTTCTTAGTTTCCAGCACAAACTAAACACCCTCAGTTCAATTAGGGTTTCCTACATTTGTATCTCTTGTTACTCAATTACTTCAACCATTCTCTCTAGCCATGGCTCCAGGTACTATCTTAACAGGTCGCCCATCCCCTTCCGCACGCACCTCATCATCGTCATCGGCACTCTCATTGGCCAGGGTGACCCTGACCCCAACCCCTCAAAAGAAAGGGTATGTTCTAACGCGTCTCATCCACAGTGCTGAAGTGGAAATGGTTGTTATAATTACAGTAGGCTTCAATGTGCCTAAAACGGAGGATAGATTGCGCATGTGGATTTCTGCACAGCGGCTTTGAACGTTCATAGCGATCTGGTCACAGCTCGAAATGACCTGATTCAAATTGGATCTAGAGCGTCTTAACGTCGCTTATAACAAGCAATTTAGATCGCATGATTTCATTAAGAATTGACGACACATCGTCGGTTTGAACGAACGGCACTATGGAAGCCACTATAGTCTTAGAACACACAATTAGGAAGAGTTAAGGAGTTGGGAATGACTCCCAGCTCCTACAAACCCCCAAGAGCCGAGGTACAGTGATGTGGAACAGTGCCACACTGCCCCCAACCACGAAGAGTCTCGAAACTACCCTCCACAAGGGCCTACTCCAAGTGAAATGTTACGCTACACAGATAATGTAACTATTCTCAATATCCCGAAGTGTACACAAACCAAGGTTCGAAATCACTTGGATCTTGAAACCAAGGCTCGGGTTCTTCATCACAAACTCATCCTTGAGTTCTTGATGGGTCTGTTGCACACACCTGCGACACGCCGAACGTTCGACACAGGACAAAATAGAAACCGCGCGCGAGGCACAAATGACCGCGTAACACGCGACTAGCGATAACTCGCTATTGACTCGACACACACACTCGACATCATGACTCATCATGCACACACTATTATAAGCATGAAATATATATTATTTCATGCCCTCATACCATTTCATGCACACACGCATGCACGCACACGGACAACAAGCCGAGTGCAAACTGTAGGGTTGCACCAACAATTGTGAAATGGCTGGGAGTGTGAGAGTTGTGTTTCGCTGATATAAGACGGACGCTGTGGGCACGTGCACCGAGGGGTTGATTAATTGGCGTGTAATGCATGCTTGCATGGGTGCATGCCTGCATGCCTGCATGCGTGCATGGGTGCATGCCTGCACGCCTGCATGAGTGCATGGTTGTTCGTGTTTGCAAGCTGTATCGTCTTCTCTGATCGCTGTCATTCCTCGCATGCCTGCTTGGATGCATGCATTTCCCTTCTTCTCCTAATCCCTCTGTAACGTGCCAATGCCATTCATGCATGCATGCCATGCCATCCCATGGCCCTCGTCTCATGCCATCTCATGCCATGCCATCTAATCCCATTTCTTCCCTTGCCTCCAATCCCATGCCGCGCCATCCCCCCATGCAAATGGCTGCAGTGCATGCGGAGTAAGTGAGGGCCTTCATGTCCACTCGTGTCCTCCTCATCTGTATCCTCCCATCCCGCACGTACCATGCCATCCCATCCCATGTGCTTGCGGAGTACGTGAGTGCGTTGGAGCGCCTCTTCTACACCTACTGAGCGCAGGTGGGCTACCCCACCACACAACTGGAGATCCTGTGATGTCACTGCTGCTGTACAGGCTGTATGGGGCTGTGCAGGCCTAGGCACAACCCAACGCACATGAAGCGCTGTGATGGCACTCATGTGCTCACGAGTCATGAGGCATCACCTTATGCTCCTGTGTGCTGCTGTCACAAGCCACCCGCTGCAGTCGTCCCCCTTGGCACACCACACCATGCACACAGCCAGGATTTCCACTGCCAGCAGCTCCTCTCACACTTGCTCCAGTGGAAAATAGCTCATGCACTAGGCTATGCGAGGACTCCCCTGATTCCCATCACCGGTACACAGTTCTCCAACCAGCTATGCCATTCCTGCAAGTGGAAACTAGTTAGCTATGTTCGGTATCAAGTTGGAAACCAAAGTACGTGTTTGCACTTGCAGCTGCACTAAAATGAAGCCTCGCCACTGCAAATGTCCTTAGTATTTGCATCACTACTGCAGAAAGCATCACTACTGCAGAGAGCATCACTACTGCAGAGAGCATCACTACTGCAGAGAGCATCACTACTGCAGAGAGCATCACTATGGCAGAGCATGAACGGCCAGTATCCCTAGCAACATGAAGCATGTAACAGGGCGAGGAGGTCAGCGCCTTCCCTTGAAGTTTTTCTTGCTGCCCTGACGCTTTTTCTTGTGCCTCTTGCCGTGCGCTCGTCTTGACCCGCTTGCATCCTCCTGGGCATCATGGGCCCCAGACTCATTGTGAGCATCAGCAGCACCATGGCTGCTGCCAGCAGGTGCTAGCAGCTGCCGTGCCTGCGAGTGGGCGGACACTGTGCCCACCTCCCACGCCAACCTACCAGACGGGAAACGGCACGGGCGGGGGGACGTGGATTGATTCGTCAAATTTCAGAGAAGCACGGACCTGGTTTGCAAGCGTGCGCGGGGTGATGGTGTTCATTTTGAAGCGGGAACAGAGGCGTGCGGGTTGGTGCAGCGAGGAAAAAGAGGAAATAGGGGAGGCAAAAGAGGGAGGGGAAGAAGGGGAGAGGGGGGGATTGAAGGGGAGGGTTGGGAGAAGATGGGAGGAAAGGGGGGAAGGGTAGGGAAGAGGAGGAAAGGGAAAGAAGGGGAGGAAAGGAAGGGAGAGAAATAAAGATGCATGAGTGGGTAAAATGGGTCAAAGCATGAGTGGGTAACATGGGTGCGTGCATGAGTGGGTAACATGGGTGCGTGCATGAGTGGGTAACATGGGGGAATGCACAAGTGGTTAACATGGGTGAATGCACGAGCAGTCAACACCCACCAGTTGAGCAGCCAACACCCACCAGTTGAGCAGCCAACACCCACCAGTTGAGCAGCCAACACCCACCAGTCGAGCAGCCAACACCCACCAGTCGAGCAGCCAACACCCACCAGTCGAGCAGCCAACACCCACCAGTCGAGCAGCCAACACCCACCAGTCGAGCAGCCAACACCCACCAGTCGAGCAGCCAACACCCACCAGTCGAGCAGCCAACACCCACCAGTCGAGCAGCCAACACCCACCAGTCGAGCAGCCAACACCCACCAGTCGAGCAGCCAACACCCACCAATCGAGCAGCCAACACCCACCAGTTGAGCAGCCTACACCCACCAGTCGAGCAGCCAACACCCACCAGTCGAGCAGCCAACACCCACCAGTCGAGCAGCCAACACCCACCAGTTGAGCAGCCAACACCCACCAGTTGAGCAGCCAACACCCACCAGTTGAGCAGCCAACACCCACCAGTCGAGCAGCCAACACCCACCAGTCGAGCAGCCAACACCCACCAGTCGAGCAGCCAACACCCACCAGTCGAGCAGCCAACACCCACCAGTCGAGCAGCCTACACCCACCAGTCGAGCAGCCTACACCCACCAGTTGAGCAGCCAACACCCACCAGTTGAGCAGCCAACACCCACCAGTTGAGCAGCCAACACCCACCAGTCGAGCAGCCAACACCCACCAGTCGAGCAGCCAACACCCACCAGTCGAGCAGCCAACACCCACCAGTCGAGCAGCCAACACCCACCAGTCGAGCAGCCAACACCCACCAGTCGAGCAGCCAACACCCACCAGTCGAGCAGCCAACACCCACCAGTCGAGCAGCCAACACCCACCAGTCGAGCAGCCAACACCCACCAGTCGAGCAGCCAACACCCACCAGTCGAGCAGCCAACACCCACCAGTCGAGCAGCCAACACCCACCAGTCGAGCAGCCAACACCCACCAGTTGAGCAGCCTACACCCACCAGTCGAGCAGCCAACACCCACCAGTCGAGCAGCCAACACCCACCAGTCGAGCAGCCAACACCCACCAGTTGAGCAGCCAACACCCACCAGTTGAGCAGCCAACACCCACCAGTTGAGCAGCCAACACCCACCAGTTGAGCAGCCAACACCCACCAGTCGAGCAGCCAACACCCACCAGTCGAGCAGCCAACACCCACCAGTCGAGCAGCCAACACCCACCAGTCGAGCAGCCAACACCCACCAGTCGAGCAGCCAACACCCACCAGTCGAGCAGCCAACACCCACCAGTCGAGCAGCCAACACCCACCAGTCGAGCAGCCAACACCCACCAGTCGAGCAGCCAACACCCACCAGTCGAGCAGCCAACACCCACCAGTTGAGCAGCCTACACCCACCAGTTGAGCAGCCTACACCCACCAGTTGAGCAGCCAACACCCACCAGTTGAGCAGCCAACACCCACCAGTTGAGCAGCCAACACCCACCAGTCGAGCAGCCAACACCCACCAGTCGAGCAGCCAACACCCACCAGTCGAGCAGCCAACACCCACCAGTTGAGCAGCCAACACCCACCAGTTGAGCAGCCTACACCCACCAGTTGAGCAGCCAACACCCACCAGTTGAGCAGCCTACACCCACCAGTTGAGCAGCCAACACCCACCAGTTGAGCAGCCTACACCCACCAGTTGAGCAGCGCAATGAGCAGGAGAGTGAGCAGCAGCAGGAACAACACATGGTACAGCATCTCACTGCTGCCACCTTCCACTGTGCTGCCGCTCCCAGTCCCACTGCTGCTGCTGTCGCCCGCAGGTGGGCGGGAGTAGCGCCAGGCAGCGGGCAGCAGGGCGGCGAAGGAGAGCAGCAGCCCCACCAGGATGATGTTCATGAGCACCAGTGTGGGGCGCTGAGGTGGGGGAGAGATGGGGGGTGGGGAAGAGATGGGGGGGGGATTAAGGTTGCTGTGAGGGAGGGTGGGTTCCTTGAGAGGGTGGAGATGGAAGAGATGGCAGGATGAGGAACAAGGAGGGAAGAGGGAGTGCAATTGTAAGAAACAGGATGTGGGGACAGTGAAATCGATGACAGGAAGCAAGTGGCAGGTATGTAAAGTAGGGGGAACAAAAGACACATCATAGAAAAGTGAAGGCCTTGAAAACGATTGCGGAGGACTTCAAAATCCAAAAAGCAGCAAAATACAGGCTTTGAACCTGACGTGAATCGAACACGCAACCTTCTGATCTGGAGTCAGACGCGCTACCATTTTATTTGCAGTGTTATATTTGTACAGAGGATACAAATCAAATCAAGTACAATCAGATGACTAACCAGCAATACCTACTACCCTAGGTTGAGACCCCAATGAGGTCTCAAGAACCAACACCAAGGTACGCAAAATCAGCCAAGGAAGGTGGGGTGGGTTCTGGTGGCGGGAAAGGTGTGTCAGTGCTGTAGCGAATTTGTGTTCGACGGCAAATGGTCCTGGCCTGCTCGCGCTGATGCACCAGAGAAATCCTCTTGAAGTAGCTCGTCTCGAAAAGCTCTGGGATAAGGTCGGATGTACCACCCATGTCCCGGAGCCGTGTCGCTCCCCATCGGCTGCAGTCCTTGATGAAGCTAAGGAATGACGTACCGAAGCAACCGAAGGTTTCAAGGACAAGAGGAAGGAGTTTTACGTCTGGTCGGTGGTGTAACGTGGGCGCATACAGGGTCCGCTTCTCGGTTTCGCGAGCAGATGCGGCTGAACCGATGACGGATGCAGTTTTGGAGTTTGGGGGGCCATGCTGGGGATCTGCGACCGAAATATCTAATGCCCATGTTGTCCCCGAGCTGATGCTACGGCAACTGATGTCGGGGCGGCGTCCTGCAAGAAGGTGGGAATCCTCCAGCTGCACAACATAATCAAGCTCCGACGTGATGCGGTGAACCTCATGCTTGATAACGTCGTGAACCCTGGTAGGCTCGTTAGCAGATGGACAGCGGAGGACATGTGAGACGATTGAAGGATCCGTGAATGACGAGCCACAAGTGCATGTCCGGGTGGATGTGAGGTGTGGAATGGGGAGACCAAGACGAATAGCAGCTGCAATGCACCACTCTGTGGATGAAAGCTGCATGTGCGGAGAACATGGAGCCACAGTGAGCCAGTCACCAGCATGGGCCCCTTGGAGGGAGGTCAAACGGGCCAAATGTTGGGTGGAGGTTACTGTGGATCGCACGCGCTCGAGCATGACAGCGTCAAGGTGTTGTGAAAGGTAGGAATACAGCTTCTGTGGGTAGCCAGCGTGGAGTGCAGGCCAAGTGGGGAAGTGCTGTCGAATGGATGGATGAAGTTTGGATAAGGCTTTAGGAATGCATGAGTCAAGGCGATCCATGGTGTCTGAAGTGAAAATGTGAGAGCCGTTGATGGTGAAGCATGAGGAGAGCAGTGAAGCTGTCTGTGCCCAACTGCACAAGTAACTGAGAGTAGCAGCTGCAGCTGATGATCGGAGGCCAAACCCTCCAAGGCGAATGGGAAGGCATGTCTGTCGATGTGCTGTGGCAGTGTGGTCAAATGTAGGGGGCCAGTAGTCAGAGCCGATGAGGCGAACAAAATGGTCGAGCAAGCTGTTGTCCCAGTCAGTATAGAGCTCTTCTATCTCAGGGAAGGGTGCAACTGTACGGAGGAGGAATGAGGGACGAGCGGAGACGCAGAGAGAAACGATGCGAGAGGCAGTCTGAGGATCATGAAGGTCATGTAGAAGAGGCAGAGATGAGGAGAAAGAGTGCAGCTTGTCCCATACTGTAGAGATGATGTGGGTATCTGAACCGATCGGAACTCCCGCAACCGTGATACCGTTAGGGGCAATGACGATGTCTGGTGGAGGTGTGAGGTCTGAAGGGAGGTCCGAAGGGGCCCAAAGGGAGCATTTCGATGGTTGCACCCGCAGGCCGAGGCTGTTGAGACGAGCTGTAAGTGCTGTGTAGGCAGGAAACACCTCCTGCGCAGGGTCATCCGCGTAGGAGGTGATCAAGATTGCTGGAGATTGCCGCTGAATGGGGCGAATGGCTAGATGCTGGGTAAGGGCGAACAAGAATGGCCCACATGGATCACCGTGTCGAACACCTGGTGATGACTGAAGCGTTTCGATGAGTGGGCCGCTGCGGTAATGGAGTGGAGAGGGGGAGGCGTAGAAGAGGCGGAAGAAAGGGATGAGGCTGGAGAACGGGGAGTCTCGCAGAGCGTTGAACATAGCGGAACGACTGAACGAGTTGAAAGCATTGGCCACATCCACTTCCAGCACGACCCAGTCTGGGTGGAGAGAGAGGGCTGACTGGACTGCGTGGGCCATAACCTCGATCCCTGCAGAGACAGTGACCCCAAACTGCAGGGAGGGAAGGAAGAAATCCTTAATCTGCTGCTTGAAGTGAAGAGTAACGCAACGAGACAGCAAGCGCGGCAGATGGGGCGGACGCCTCCTTGCGGCAGATGCGGTGAAGAAAGGTCGGACAGTTTGAGGGAGGTCGCCTTGCAGCCAATTCTGGAACGGGCGGAGGAGATGCGGCAGGTGCGACTGGTACGAGAGGAAGGCATCACGAAGGTGCTCAATGAGACACCCAGAAGGACCAGCAGCTGTGCCTCGAGGGGCTGACCGCAAGGCCTGCTGAAGAAGCGGGACGGTGAGCTCAGGCACTTCCGGAGGCGAGAAGTCGGAGAGCCGGTCCGGGAGGTCTTCAAGAGCAGGAGGGTGCTTGGCCTTAGCGCAGTAACAGTCTCCAGAGTCAGTGGAGCAAGCTCTCCAGCCTCTACAGCAGCAAGGGAACGCGACCAATCTCCGCAATGCGCGAACCGCTTGGCCCTGTTCAACCGAGCAAACGTCGATGTGGACCGGGCGGACGATAGATTGTGCGGTCGAGTGGCTGGTACAGCAGCAGCGACAGCCTCGTTGAAGAGGGGGAGCCAGTCGCCTTGAATGAAACGGCGCACATAGGCTGCACATTCCGCCGTAGCTGAATGTGAGGAAGAAGTGGTTGAAGAGCGAAGCACGAGTCGGGGGAAAGCGAGGAGGAGGAAATGAGCTGCAGGGTATTGAGGGAAGATGAGAAGACGACGAATTGGTATGAGTAAAGCATCCAGGGCCAGCAAGAGGGCTCGCGGCGGGATCCGGCGCAGCAGTGGGCCAGGGGTAACGGTGGGACTAAAGAATGTCCCCCAGTCCCAGCTTATGACAGCTTCCCATGTCTGCTGAGAAATCTGTGGAGGTGCTGAAGAGGATGGGGAGGTAGCGGTGGCACGAGGAGGAGGAGGGCGGGCTGCTTCTTGACGGGCTGAGTCATTGCGGGAGCAAGCAGAGAGGTGACGAGTGAAGCCACCCGAGCTGGTGAAGTTGGTGCGGTTGCAGGTGGAGCAGCGAAATCTCGGGCCCGGAACCGAAGTGGGTGAAGGAGGGGAATCAGCGGCCGCAGCAGGGTGCGAAGCAGGTGTGGAAGCAGGAGGAGGAGAAGAAGCAGGAGGAGGCTGCGAAGCAAGTTCGGCTGCAGGTTCAGGTTGGCGAGAGGAGTGTTGTTGGGGAGAGGGTGAAGTGTCTGTAAGGACTTGTTGGAGTACGTTTTTCTGCTCCTTTGAAATGAAACGGGGTGAGGTTGATGATTTGGGGTGTTGAGACGAAGAGGCTGGGGGGTGTGGAGCAGATGATTCCGGCAGTGGCGAGGAAGTGTGTGTGACGGCTGGTATAGTAGGGCGAGATGGTGAGCGTGGTGTCTGTGGAATCGGAAGAGCTGCAAAAGCTGGGGTTGAGCATGACCGATTAGGAGGACGAGATGGGTGCGGGTCCGAGTCTTCAGGCATCCTGTCCCGCTTGCGATTCGGCAAATTTTTTTCTTTTTAGTGGAGATGAGAAAGAGAGTTGTGCAGTGCAGCTGGCGGTGTGCCCAATGTCACGAATTCGCGATGTTAGCGCAAGCAAATGTACTAACGAGACACAACGCGGATATCGTGGGTAGGCAGGACTGGTGGTGCCGCTGCCGAGGATCGTGCTGGTGCTTTCAGAATATGAAGCAGGTGCAAGTGGGTTCGTGTGTGGGGGTTACTGTTCGAGAGGGTGAGGAGGCTCGCGAACGTGTTGTCTGAATTTACAGCAGAAACCATGCCGCCGCAGGTGAAACACCTGTCCGTGTCAAACGCTGTCGAGACTGCCAGGAGGGCTAAGCTTCAGCCCGAACGTGGAGAACCGCTGTCAGGGAAGTGGCGATACTGGTTTCGCGCAGCGTGCAACGGCAGGAAAAGGAGTCGTGCCGTGCCGTGGCTCTGCAGATTGAGGGGTCGATCGGCGGGCTATGAAAGGCCTCGTAGCCTGAGCCTTTTCGCTACTAGACGTAGGTAGTGAGTTCTTGTTGCCTTACTAGCGCGCGCAGCAAGACGAACTACTAATTTTCGAGAGCTTGAGAGCGTTTTATACGAGCGCCAGCGAGAAAGCGTGCGCAGCAGTCAAACTACTAATCTTCGAGAGCTTTGAGAGCGTTTTATACGAGCGCCAGCGAGAAAGCGTGCGCAGCAGTCAAACTACTAATTTTCGAGAGCTTGAGAGCGTTAGCGCCAGCGAGAAAGCGTGCGCAGCAGTCAAACTACTAATTTTCGAGAGCTTGAGAGCGTTTTATACGAGCGCCAGCGAGAAAGCGTGCGCAGCAGTCATCGCCGCATACTAACACCAACACTCACGCAATGATGGATTCCATGGTACGTCAGCACGCCCCAGGCTCACGTTGAGTCCGGGCGTGATAGCGCCGATCGCCACAGCCGACAGCCACCCCATCCGCTCCTCTCCCGCGCCCCCCTGCTGCCGCCGCTCCCTGCCGCCTCCCATGCTGCCGAGCGCGTGCGACTGCTGCTGCGGCGTGAACGACCGCCCCATCCCAAAAATGATGGGAACTGAAGCCTACTACGAAGCAACTTCTCATTTACTCTGTCGTTGGTGTGGTGTGGAGAAACCAACGTTTAGTTTCTGGGAAACATACCTAGCGAGGTTGGGGTGTTCCGAACCTAGACATTCTGCCTAGTTACTTGTAGGTGAGAACGAGCGCCTGATCGGCGAGATCACCGATCGCTCACTCGCTACAAAAAATTCGCGCTGGAAACATTGCTCGAGGTGTGTCTCAAGAATGTCGTAAGTACCTCCCACAGACACACTTCGTGCTTTACTATGCGGATTGCTCGGGCACACAATGACATTGGTGTCGCACTCTCTTCACAATGCTCAGGGAGGATGTCTAGGGTTTCGACAGACATTGTAACACCAGTGCCTCACTTTGTATAGCGTGTACGCTATCACGATAATGTGATTCGTGGGTGTAGCCTCATGATGCGAGAGTCTCTAAACACGGTTCCGGCCTTTCTAGTTGAAGCATCACCACCGACTGCTACCATGAGTCCGCCATGGATATTACCGCGCAGCTTCAAACCCAGATCCCGTGTAGGTTCCGTGTCAGTTGGCTTTAAAAACTACAGATCTCGCTTCCTCGTTACAAGGCGCAGCGACCGATACCCTTTTTGTGTCTACACATCGGACATAGTATCGCTTGCTAAACGAGATCCAGTTTCTTGTCAGGCATCTAACTTCGAGGTTCCTACTGGGTTGCTGCTAACTTCTGTACAGCGATAACAACATCAATGGCTACACTGGTCTTATTACGACTATTACTAACCATGATCCCAGGGCCTCGACCTCGGTTTCTCACCATCTGCGCCAAGAATAATGGACAAGCACCAATGGAACTTGCCTACTTAACAAGCTCAAGCTAATAGCAATGGCATCAGTTCCCTCATCACCAATCTGTTTCTCAGCTCTGCAGCTTTCTTTCCTCCATTGTCGCAAGATGCCTCATAAGGGGAAAGCTAAGGTTCTGCCGGAAGCACCGTCGCTGGATGCTCCTCCTCCATCGCGTGCTCCTCCTTCTTCTACGCCTGCAAGCAAGGACAAGGGCAAAGCACCGGTGGATGACTCCAACAACGTGTCTCTCACTGATGCACCTGCTAGCGGATCTGGCATCTCTCTGGAAGAGAAGCTATGCTCTCTTCGCACGACTGTTCCTGATAGCGGCTTCATCGAGGACGATTCTGATGAAGAACTGAAAGTCTAAGTCAAGACGGAGGCTTTTCACCGCGTCCGCTACACGGCGATTCTGCTGTTACCTGTGGCTCTCGCGCTGGAAGTGGCGTCGGTCATCACCACTGTGCGGACACTGTTGAGGCGGGTCTGGGCGTCCTCGCTATCTGACGGAGCTTTCGAGTCGGCGAAGTTCCAGGAACTCCTTCCAGCATACGTGGCGAAGACCCGGTACTGTCGTCTGCAGGTGTCGCTCCTGCGTGAAGACGATATCATGAGCATCAGAACCAAGGAAGTGGACTACACACGTCCCAAGGGCACGGTGTTTCGACTCTACTGGCAACACACTGATGATCCCGCTTTCGTGCAGGAACGGGCAACAAATCCTCAGGCGATCGAAGTGATCATCCGCGATGTACCTGCGACGAAGACACCGGAGATGCTGCGGGAGCTGATGGTGGTCTACCAGCTGAGGAACAGGAGGTGTTCTGCGTTCAAGGATGGCGTTTGCTTCCACCGCGTCCTGCACCCGGTCACTGGCGCCGATACGGACATCATCAAGGGATTGGTGATCCCTCGATAGGCACCGTTGGCGTCACGTCTTCGGAGATCCTTCGAAACTTGGTCGCCGGTACCTGGTTCACTTTCCCGCGCTGTCCTGTCTGCTCTGCGGTGGTCAACATTACGACGTCAACCATGATGCCTTCCTCACGGACCGGCAAAATAATATTGGGAAATGGAATCTTACCTTGGGAAGGGTGCACCGTATTAATGGTAACTGCTTTTACTCTTACGATCGTACTCACCATTGCATCTGTGCTTGTGCTAACCTCCAAGTTGTACCGTGCAGCCGCTTCCCTGCCTGCCTCGCCGCTGATCACACCCATTCTGCTGGACCCGGCCATTGTGCTGATCTCTACGGGAGGCAATCGCGAAGAATGGATCTGCACGCAAGTGGGGTGTGGGAAAGCGAAAGGGAAGAGCTTCATGACGGCGGCCGACCACATCACGTCTGCCAATCATCTCATCCATCTGGAGCAGCTCGGGTCAGCCACTCGTGCCTCTCTCGAGAAGGCCAGCCTCAACATCACCAAGAAGGAATACGGGATCTGAGACTTGTTCAGCTAGGTCGTCAGTCGGCAGCAGCAGCGGTAGTTTTCGCAGTAGTCGGTGTCTCTTGTCTTCTTACGCTGTGGATGCGTAGGGTTGTCAAGCTGTTATCAAATGAGTAAAAGAAGCCTCATCAGTTTTGCGGGCCTCAATGTCAACGACCTAGGAGATCGCACCAAACAGCAGCGTGTCATAGACTGGTCAAGGCAAGCAGCAGACATAGTAGCGCTATCAGACACTAGGCTAGCCTCAGATCACCCTTCGCGGTCCCACCCTACCTTCAGTCTCGTAGCAGCAGCCACACCCAAGTTGAAAGCAGGTGGGGTAGCCCTGCTCTGTAGATCGCCTAGTCTCAGCTTCCATAACGTCTTAGTCCATTCCTCGGGTAGACTTGTCTCGGCCGAGATCCATGGTCCCGGCCTGCAACTCACAGTCTTAGCTTGTTACTTCCCGGCAAAGGCGACCTCCCGAGCGACGTTCCTCCACAACACCTTAGGTCCAATAGTAGACCAACTCCCGCCGACGAGTCACCTGCTCATTATCGGCGACCTCAACATTATAGAAGATCCAGTGTTAGACAAGTCGTCTCGCTTCGGACCTACAGCAGAGAATGACAGGCTCTATGCTCGCTGCAAGCAGTTCCAGCTCTCTGACGCTTTCCGTACACTCTATCCGAAGAAACGCTAGTTCACTTTCTTTTCGCAAGCTCAGCAAGCCAGCACCCGTATCGACCGCGCTCTCCTCTCTCATTCCCTCTTACCTCGCCTTATTCAAGCTTCTCATGTGATGCCGGCTGTCTACATTTCTGACCACGGCTTTGCTATCAGGGTTGCTCTTCGGTTGGACGCAAAGATCTGCATGGGCCCGGGTCTCTGGAGACTTCACGCGTCGATGGTACACAAAAAGGGGGTGAGGAAGATAGTGGAGGCGACAGTGGGAAAGATCGAAGTCACAGACGGCAACAGTTTCGAACTTCTTCTATCACGGTTGGCGGCGGGTCTTCGTGCTTTCGCGAGGGAGGAAGGCAAGCATGTCAAGGCTACGGTGTCACACCTTGTCAATATTGTCGCGGAGCTCCGTCAAGAGGCAATGCGCAATCCGACCTGCAAGATGACCAGCGAGAAGTTGGCGGCGATGGATCTGCAGTTGCGGGAATACCAGGCTTACGGAAAGACAAGCTGCATCCCATGTCAGGCATGCGGATGGAGCTCAGAGGAGAAGTGGCGTCGCAGCACCTGACAGCTTTGGTGCAGACGAGGAAGGCGAGCACCCAAATTGCCGAGCTGCAGACGACAAGCGGGGTTGTCTCGGACTCGCAGGGCATTCTCCGCGCAGCATCTGATTTTTTCGCGGATATCTTCGGGAAGGACAAGTGTCAAGTGGAAGAGGACTGGAAGCCTGAGAAGGGGAAAAAGCTGACAACCTGGAAAGCGGCAGGGCTGGACGGAGGAGGAGGTTAAAAATGCTTTCAGTGCGATGGCGGCGAACAAGTCCCCAGGGAGAGACGGATTGCCGAAGGAACTATTTGAAGCTTATTGGGATCTACTGGGGAAGGGCTTCATGGCCCTGGCGAAGGATTTCGCGGCATCTGCAGTTCTGTCAACAGAAGTCAAAGAAGCGGTCACGATACTGCTTCACAAAAAAGGCGACAAGGACCAGCTGAATAACTACCGACCTATCACGCTGCTTAACTTCACTTACAAGGTGCTGGCGAGGGTGGTCGTGGATCGGATGAAGAAAGTGTTTGCCAAGGTAATCTCACCGGAGCAATACGGATTCATGTCGGGCAGGCGGCTAACTGATGCAGTGGGTCTGGTGGCTGACATCATTGATACGGCTCGCAACGAAAATGAAGATTGGTTTCTTCTTCTGGTCGATTTCAAAAAAGCCTTTGATTCCGTCTCCCGTGGGTATCTCTTCCGGACGCTGTGGTCGATGGGTTTTCCGGAGCGGCTAGTAAGCTGGGTGGAAGGCCTGCACAAGGGGACGCAGACAAGACTCTTAATCAACGGCTGGATGGGAGAGGGTGTGGAGGTAGTATCCGGGATCAGGCAAGGCTGTCCGTTGGCTCCATACCTTTTTCTCTGCGCGGTTGAGCCGCTGGAACAGCTGGTCCTCAAGCGGAAGCTGGGAATCAGCAAGGCGGGAGAACGCTTGGCGTACATCGGTTACGCAGACGACACCACTCTGGTCCTGGAGGGAAAGGAGCAGCTGATAAGGGCAGAGCAAGTGTTAGAAAAGTTCGAACGGACGTCGGGACTGGCGACAAACCGAGAAAAATCCGTGGTCTTACCCTTGGGGAACAATCTTGGTCCGACGACAGGTCGGACGCACAGTTTCAGGTGGGCGAAAGCGGATGAAGCGGAGAAGCTGCTTGGGGTATGGGTGACTCCCTCGGGAAGCTGCCAAGAGACATGGGAAAAAACCGCAGAGAGTATTTCGGGAAAGGTTAAGAAATGGCAGCAGAAGTATCTCCCCACAAAGGCAAGAACGGCGGTGGTCAACAGCTACACGATGCCGAAGGCGGCATTCCAAGCGCAAGTTTATCCGCCACCGGCAAAGCTCTGGGGGACCATCTCCAAAACATTTCACAACTTCGTATCCGCTAATCGGGCAACGGCGGACAGAGGGTTTATGCTCTGGAGTAAGGAGTTGTTGCATACTCTGAGAGAACTTGGTGGTGTTGGCGTACAGGACCC